CTATGTCATTCACTGTGCTGCATTCAGAGATTATCATTATTTGTCCCTTCGGTTCCTAGTGGAGGAACACAGGGATTCAGTAGCACATCTCCAGTGCACCCTGTTGTCTCCAGTCTTTTCAACCTGGCTCCATGACTGCCCATAAGCTTTCATTTCTTCCTCACACACCATCTCCTACATGTCACCATCGAACGCCCAACTCGTCGTTTCCCCTTTGGATTCATCTCGACCGCCTGGCCTGGCGCGCGATGCCCGAAATCAGTCTTCTTAGCGTATGCCCGACTCATCTTCATTTTCATCTGCATTGACTTAACGTTGGTGTTGAAAATCCGCATCTTGTCCCACATGCCGAGTGCAGTAGATCTCCACACTGGTTTCAGGCTAATGAATGCCTGTCTTTCCGATCCTGGCTTTGACATCCTCATCTGTGCCACCACCTGTAGTTGAAACGATGCTGCCTAGGTAGGTAGGTACGTGAAAGAGACAACTTCCTTTAGGTTTCTCCCGTTGATGGTGAATGGAGCTTGGTAGTGGTGGTGTTGATTGGGTATCTTCATCACCTCTGTCTTCTCTACATTCACCTGAAGGAAGTCCTGTCCTCCTTCGCTGCCCTGTCTCGCCTGTCAACTTGTTGGTTTTCGCCCGTAGATCTTAGACATAAATCATCATCGGCGAAATCAAAATCTTCTAGGGTCTTTTCATCAGTCAAAAAGCCAGTGTAGGCCACTCTTCTCGCTCCTCACGGTTTGCTGCATGATCCAGTCAACCACAATCAGGAAGATCATGGGTGATAGTAGGCAGCCTTGTCTTCACTTCACTTCAAAGGCATCATTGAGCTCTCCATTGTCAATCACTTACCATGTATTCTCATCATATAGCACATAGTTGCTGTTGAATGAGTTTGATAAAGGTTTGCTGGACTAAAATCGTATTGCTTAAGTAGGCGCCTGCTAAATAACTTCTAGGTCGACGCCTAGATCGAAGGTCTTTTCAAAATCGATGAAGCCAAGATAGAGAGTTAACTGCTATTCTATGCTCTCTTCTATAATGATGCGTAGTGTTGCAATTTGATCCGCACATGATTTGTTTTTTGTGAAGTCAACCAGCCTGTTCCGGTCGTAATTTTGAATCCAGCGCATATTTTAGTCTCTCCAGGATGATGGGGCTTAACATTTGGCTTTCAGAGATATTACCAGTAAGCAATTCGGGGGCATGACTGACCTAGTGTGATTGTTCACGGAGAATAATAACAAATTTCGCGGTCCGTAGAAGGTGGTCAGCACTCTGTCACCACTGAAGAAAATGAAACATGTGACTTGATTCTTAGCAATGATCTCCATGAACGACCTCACTTTTTTAGTGCTATTACTTTATATCGGCATAGTTCATCAGAATTTTACAAAGATGGTGTCCATTTCCCGTCTCTCCATACCACATAATTGTAAAATACCTCGTAAACCTATAGGGAAATAGCTCTTTAAACATAGTGTTTTTGATACATTCGAATCTGCTGAGTCAATCAAGGATGTTCATCTATCCGGAAGAAGAACAGTTTCATTCGATATCGTATCACTACTCAATAACTTAGCGTTAAGAGAAATAATTTGTTGCTTATGTAAGTTGATTCAATGTAGAAAATGACTATCTGAAAGAAATTCTCCTAAGATGTACATTTAATGTTCACTTCAGATTAAATAACGAAATTTACAGACAAATTGATGGTGTAGCAATACGATCACTTCTTGGACACCTTACTTGCCGACTACTTACTTTATAGCTAAACGACAATCGATCAACTTCATGGATATATATAAGATGCGTGGATGATACCTTCATTGTGTATAATAACAACTTGGACGTGATACATCTCCTTCAAAGTTTCAACTTTACAGGGGAAGCTGAATCAAACTGGACGTTTTATGATCTTCACGCCAAACTCTACAAAGGGCTTGATTATTCCATTCATCTACAAGAAGCCCACTTAAAATGGGCAACCTTCAAAGTTGACTGACTTCAAGCAAGAAGATGAATCTCATGAGATCACTTTCATCGAAAATATACACTAATGATACAATTGTTCAATAATGAAAATCTCTTCGAGAAACAATGTTAAAGTATGGCTGCCTATTCAGATTTATATAAAAAAGTATGAAACACCTTCAATCAGCATCGAAGATAATCCTTCAATGAACCTCTAATTCAAGCGTGGTATCGTTATAGATATTCCTTCGTCAAGCCTAGTCAAAAGCTCTGAGTAAAACAGTCTATGCTGTAGTGCATTTCACCTCGTCAATATGGAATTGGGTACCACAATCGTACTATGTGCGTATCCGTGAACATTACCCAGCCCAACTGTTGAAGAATGAGCACAAAATCGTTTTCAGCTGTATCGCTAAACATCTTATAGACTCTAAAATTCCCGCTTCTCTAGATATCTCTTTCAAAGTTCGATAAAATCGGTAAGAAGAGATGAGCAGTAGATAACTATGTACAGCCGAAGCAATGGCAATTCATAGCTTCAATTGTGCATACATAAGCGCACTCACTCTCTCTCTCTCTCTCTCGTGACCGTAAGCAGATAATCTGAACCTGTTTACTGATTGATTTTTACTGGATATATTGAGACCATGTTTTATGTTGCGTAATATCATTTCATCTCCTCTATACATCTATCGATTAGCTTTAACCTTTGACCGGAAACTTATCTGTAGCATTCGTTTATCATGATCATTTCACATAGTTATTGTAACAGTAAGTAATATAAGTAACAATGAGGACTAATTGATTGGTTACTGAAGAGTCTTGAGTGTCAACTGAATTCTATACATCATTTCATAATGTGATCACAACCACACCAGAAGACTCACTAATGTGATGAATTTTAAGAAATATCAGTTAATTGAGGGCAGTCGGTAAGATGCTCACAAAACTTTTCCGTGCATATCTACAATGTAGAAGGGATTGATGTCTTAACTGGGAATCCAGCCCGTGTGTTATTCAATAGTCCTGCAGTCAGACACATTACCAGTAAGCTATTCGCTATAGAAAGTCCAGTTTACGATCCAATGCAATATATATATAATCCACTATATTCAAGAACAAAAGGCGTTTATATTTCTTCAGATTACAAAGTAATTCACAATGGGAAGCTCAGTGATGCTTTCGAAGTGAAGACAGGAGTGAAACAAGACTGCCTACTATCACCCATGATATTCATGATTGTACTGGACTGCATCATGCAACAAACAGTGAGGAACGAGAAGAGGGGGATACACCGGCTGCACCACAGAAATAAACCTACAAGATCTGGATTTCACAAATCACGACATCTGTCTAATGTGTTGTCGCACAAACTTCAACATCTACAGACGAAAACTAACAAGTTGACACAAAAGGCAGGGCAGCCAGGGGAGACGGGACTTCAAGTGAATGTAGAGAAGACAGAGAGAGGTGATGAAGATACACAACAAACAACAACAAACTACAATCATCATCAACAGCAGAAACTTAAAGGAAGTAACCTCCTCCACCTATCTAAATAGCACTGTTTCAACTACACGTGGCACACACAACCACGTCATACCCAGTCAGCATCAGAAACACACCAAGACACACTCTCATTAACCTGAAACCAGTGTAGAGATCTTCTGCACTCCACACCACTGCGCCCCACTGCACTGCACTCAACATAAAGCCTGAACAACATCCGATTCTCAACACAAATCCACTCAAGTCACTGCTCATGTATGGTTCACACACTTGGCGCCTCACGAAAGGCATTTACAACAAAACTACACACATTCATCAACAACTGCCACCTACCCTGGCTCCTTACTCAACATCACATGGCCAGAATAATAAGAATAAACAACAAGCAACTCTCGTTGGCTGACAACCAACCAACGAGGCAACAACCTATCGCTCAACAAATATGCACTCGAAGCAAGTCCAGATGGATTGGGTATACACTGAGAAGACCGATTGGGGACATCATGAGTCAGGTCAGTCACTCGAGTGCAACTCCAATGGGAAGCGACGAGTTGGGCGTCCGAGGGGAGGGTGACATGGAGGAGATCGTACGAGGAGGGAATGAGAGCTTCTGGGCTGTCGTGAAGTATCCTCACAAGTGACCTGAAGAGTATCTTAATCATCAAAATAAATCATTTCATATAGTCATATTATTAGTAACAATAATAATTCGCATATTGATGACAATACTAATAATAAATGCAGATTTCCTTTCAGAAAAAAAAAAAAAACTTTTCTCCCAAATCTTCATATATCCGCATTAATAATACCAGAAAGATGAAAAAATAAGAAAAGACAGCAACAAGGGAACAGGGGGTCACAATCAGTTAAAACACACTACACAGATATTATAATGGAATAATTTTTTCAATAGATTTGAAGATAATCCCTATGAAAATGGATGGATGATCAAAATGGACCTCAGATAAACACACACACACACACACACACACACACACAGGGAACTGTTAATACTACAAAGTGTAATGATTAGTTGTCAATCTCTGATTAGAACCAAAACAAGAGTCTATCATATATCAGTTTTCATAGGTGATTATCACAAATAACAATGAAGATATTCATAATACTACCAGCAATGTCAATGATATGAATGAGTAGAATAACACAGAACAATTTATCGACTAATATGAAATATCAAGTGTATGAACAGGCATATGTTTTCTTCGGATGGGGAGGGGGCGGCGGCGGAGCGACATAAGTTGAAATTTATGCTTATAAAAGTTTCTTTACAGATAGACTTTAATTACACGTATGCATATATATATATACCGTTTGTATAGATAATAGATTGAAGTCGAAGAAGGTATCAGTCGTAGTGTATATATCGAATTTGTATTAACCCCTTCAGCTTTGTTGATACGATAGAGAGATAGAAGAGAAAAAAAAAATGGAAAAAAGAAATATCTTTCTTAGTTCCTCCCACCCCTCACCTCCTGCTCCTCCCTTTCTTTCTATATATAACCATTATTAAGCATTAAATCTGAAGATTGAGGAAGTTTATAAGATATATGTTGATTTACAATCGATGTTTGTTCTTGATCAAATGATGATGATATTGAAACTGTTGATATACTTCCATTGACATCATTATCATAAATATCATTTTCACCATTTCTATGTATTACATTATTCATAAAAAATGAACTAGACAAATTTGATCTATTTATTCCAATATGATCAGTTTGAATAACAGGATTATTTGAATAATAATAATAATAATAATAATAATATTGTGGTCTAGCACGATTTAATATTTTTATAAATTCTAATGTTTTACCTCTCATTCTACGATGTATATAACCTTTTGAACATTTAATATGATAATGTAAATAATTACGTAATGTATGAATAAGATTAATTGTACGTGGAGATGTTTGTGATGTAAGATGTCGAGGGAATAAAACTGTAGACAATTTGTTTGTTTGTTTCATAGAAAAGCAAAAAAAAAATTTTCATGACAATGAAATAGTTATGAGATTCAATTGAAGCTGATCAGAATTTTATTTCATTTCAATCACCAAGGTGGGTTCTGCCCAACTACCATGTGAATTCGTGACGCATAACTACCGCTTGATCGTATTCCTACTGGCTGCCAACCAGTCACGACTTCTCATCCCAATCCAAATCTAACTCAATTATCATTTGACCATATGAGATAGGTGTAGTTTGGTAGACTAGTATTTGTACTGAACGATGATTGAACGTGAGAGGAAAATATGGATCACCGCCAGATTCGAACCAGCGACCACCGGGTTACCAGCCCGGTGCTCTTCAAACTAAACTACGAGGTCCGACTGCTAACCACAATTTTATTTCACCTCAATCATCAAGGATTCTGCCCGACTATCATGTAAATTCGTGACGCCTTACTACCGCTTGATCGTATTCACACTGGCTGCCAACCAATCAGGACTTCTCATCCCAATACAAATCTAACTGAATTAGAACGAGAGGGGGATCATCATATTGATTATCATTTGACTATCTGAGATAGCAGCCGTAGTTTGGTAGACTAATATTTGTACTGGGTGATGATTGAAAGTGAGACGAAAATCCAGATTTTCATCTCACACTCAATCATCACCAAGCACACACACTAGTCTGCCAAGCTACGCCTGCTATCTCAGATACTTAAGTGGTAATACCTTAGTGTTTATTTGTGTGTGTGTGTTCGTCTGAAGAAGATACTTTCAATACTACTTAGCTGAGAGTTCTTATCAAATGCAACGATACTCATGGGTTTATGGTCACAGAAACTATATTATTATTATTAATATAACTAACTTACACCACACTTTGTGGTTCATCAGTGGTTTAGGCGGTTGATACCCCATCCCACTCCTCTCCACTCCCTGAGGTCTACGCCATTGGGTACTATGAATAACCCTGACACTCGTCAACCCATGTGGCTGATTGTCTAATCTACGTAACCGCACATGGCGACTGGCTCTACTCGGTCTCATTTATTACCTGTAACTGTCGATTTCTTGTCTCTCATTCGTTTATCTCATTGTTATTCAACCCAACCACAGTACATGTCTATGTATTAACCTGTGAACTAAATTTAATGTTTACATAGCAGCTTGTGATACTACTTATTTGTGCAAGCCGAAGTAGGTAGACTACTTGCATCCCAGTGGAGAAACCTTTGGAGTTTGAAGAGATAGGTACGAGGTTCGAGTCTCAGTGGAAATAACATCACTCTGCACTGGGGTGCAGGTACATCCAGCTGATGAGTTCCAAATAGGACTGGAAAGCCTGTCCTGGATTCCACTGTTAATCCCCAATATGAATACAACATCATGAATATCCGACAGTATCGAGGCATCCTCATCTGACAACAGAGGTCGAGCAATTCGATGCAATATATCAACAAGAAATTATAATTAACAATAAACAACGAAGCAGGAACCTGAAACCTATTGCTTAAAAGTCAAATACTTGAACCAACGAACTACATTTAAACTCTTTTGAACTAATCGATGATGCAAGAGTTACAACCTACGAGATATGGAGCGATTGCAAAGTTTTGATCATAGATGTATTCGTGACACTGCTCGCACTAAGTGTAATCACTGTGTGAGCAATGTTGATATCAGATGAAGGGTACCTAGACAAGATAGGCAAGTCCAGATTTTCATCTCACCTTCAATCATCACCTAGTACAAATACTAGTCTGCCAAACTACGCCTATCTTTGACAGTCAAATCATAATGGAATAGTTGTCCAGACAAAAGACAACCTACCTAGTTCTATCATTTCCATGTGTATTTATCAATTCAGCTGCTCCTGTGGAGAAAGCTAACGAACGTGTTGCTCAGCATCTACCATCATGGCTAGGAAAATGACAAGTGAAGTCAATACGAAGCTCAACTCCATCACATTTAGTCGACTGTGGTCATGTAATAGACAAAACCGAAGTGTTCAACATCATCTAGCACATTCCACAAAATCTTTTGAATAGAATTAATTCGCACTAGCGTTTTACATATACCTCAGGTTATGCAAATTAGACAAAACAAACTTCGTCTTTGTGTTCAGAAAAAGTTTGTGCAGCCTTTATCTCTGTATTGACCAGAGAAAACCTGATAAATATCTTTATTATGACTTGGCTATCTAAGATAGGCGTAGTTTAGCTGACTAGTATTTGTACTGGGTGATGATTGATCGTAGCTCGATTGGTAGAGCACTGGGTCGGTAACCTGGTGGTCGCTGGTTCGATCCCGGTCGCGGTCTAGATTTTCATCTCACCTTCAATCATCATCCAGTACAAATATTAGTCTACCAAACTACGCCTATCTCATATGGTCAAACGATAATCAATAGGATGATCCCCCTCTCATTCCAATTCAGTTAGATTTGGATTGGGATGAGAAGTCGTGACTAGTGGGCAGCCAGTAGGAATAAGATCAAGCGGTAGTAACGCGTCACAGATTCACATAGTAGTCGAGCAAAAACCCCTGGGGACTGAAATGAAATAAAATTCTGGTCAACAGTCGGATTTCGTGGCTCAGTTGGTAGAGCACCGGGGCCGGTAACCTGGTGGTTGTTGGTCCGAATCCGGTCGTGGTCCACATTTTCATCTCACTCAGTACAAATATCTTTATATGAATTCAATTTTCATCCTCTTCATCTTCCCCCCCTCCCCCTTTCCACATATGTTTACTGAATTTATTTATACTTTGATTATCTACACATTTCATCCTTCAGTATTACGTAACTTTTTTATTCCTAAGTTGTGATCGAAATTGTTTGTCGAAATATTTACAGTACCATGTTGTTCTCATTAAGATAACTATTGTTATTGCACTGGGTGATGATTGAAGGCAAGATGAAAATCTGGACCGCGACCGGATTCGAATCAGCGACCACTGGGTTACCGGCCTGGTGCTCTACCAACTGGGCTACTAGGTCCGACCGCTGACCAGAATTTCACTTCACTTCAAACACCAAGGGTGATTATTATGACTGTCTAGCTATCTACTATTAACATGCTTCATTTCCTAATTACCACAGGTTGAATAATCCACCATGATTGTTTTAATGTTTTATATATGACAAAATTCCCTCTTTACCCGGGCTTAGGACCGGCTAGTAACTAGTGAACTAGTTAGCCAGGTGAGGTCTAATGTCGCACAAACTCAAAGATCTTCAGGTAAAAAACCAACAAGTTGACAGAAGAGACAGCGAAAACGGGACTTCAAGTGAATGTAGAGAAGACAGAGAGAGGTGATGAAGACACCCAACAAACACCACCACCACCACCACAACAACAACAACAACAACAACAAACTACAATCACCATCAACAGCAGAAACTTAAAGGAAGTAACCTCCTCCACCTATCTAAATAGCACTGTTTCAACTACACGTGGCACACACAACCACGTCATACCCAGTCAGCATCAGAAACACACCAAGACACACTCTCATTAACCTGAAACCAGTGTAGAGATCTTCTGCACTCCACACCACTGCGCCCCACTGCACTGCACTCAACATAAAGCCTGAACAACATCCGATTCTCAACACAAATCCACTCAAGTCACTGCTCATGTATGGTTCACACACTTGGCGCCTCACGAAAGGCATTTACAACAAAACTACACACATTCATCAACAACTGCCACCTACCCTGGCTCCTTACTCAACATCACATGGCCAGAATAATAAGAATAAACAACAAGCAACTCTCGTTGGCTGACAACCAACCAACGAGGCAACAACCTATCGCTCAACAAATATGCACTCGAAGCAAGTCCAGATGGATTGGGTATACACTGAGAAGACCGATTGGGGACATCATGAGTCAGGTCAGTCACTCGAGTGCAACTCCAATGGGAAGCGACGAGTTGGGCGTCCGAGGGGAGGGTGACATGGAGGAGATCGTACGAGGAGGGAATGAGAGCTTCTGGGCTGTCGTGAAGTATCCTCACAAGTGACCTGAAGAGTATCTTAATCATCAAAATAAATCATTTCATATAGTCATATTATTAGTAACAATAATAATTCGCATATTGATGACAATACTAATAATAAATGCAGATTTCCTTTCAGAAAAAAAAAAAAACTTTTCTCCCAAATCTTCATATATCCGCATTAATAATACCAGAAAGATGAAAAAATAAGAAAAGACAGCAACAAGGGAACAGGGGGTCACAATCAGTTAAAACACACTACACAGATATTATAATGGAATAATTTTTTCAATAGATTTGAAGATAATCCCTATGAAAATGGAATAGGATGATCAAAACGGACCTCAGATAAACACACACACACACACACACACACAGGGAACTGTTAATACTACAAAGTGTAATGATTAGTTGTCAATCTCTGATTAGAACCAAAACAAGAGTCTATCATATATCAGTTTTCATAGGTGATTATCACAAATAACAATGAAGATATTCATAATACTACCAGCAATGTCAATGATATGAATGAGTAGAATAACACAGAACAATTTATCGACTAATATGAAATATCAAGTGTATGAACAGGCATATGTTTTCTTCGGATGGGGAGGGGGCGGCGGCGGAGCGACATAAGTTGAAATTTATGCTTATAAAAGTTTCTTTACAGATAGACTTTAATTACACGTATGCATATATATATATACCGTTTGTATAGATAATAGATTGAAGTCGAAGAAGGTATCAGTCGTAGTGTATATATCGAATTTGTATTAACCCCTTCAGCTTTGTTGATACGATAGAGAGATAGAAGAGAAAAAAAAGATGGAAAAAAGAAATATCTTTCTTAGTTCCTCCCACCCCTCACCTCCTGCTCCTCCCTTTCTTTCTATATATAACCATTATTAAGCATTAAATCTGAAGATTGAGGAAGTTTATAAGATATATGTTGATTTACAATCGATGTTTGTTCTTGATCAAATGATGATGATATTGAAACTGTTGATATACTTCCATTGACATCATTATCATAAATATCATTTTCACCATTTCTATGTATTACATTATTCATAAAAAATGAACTAGACAAATTTGATCTATTTATTCCAATATGATCAGTTTGAATAACAGGATTATTTGAATAATAATAATAATAATAATAATATTGTGGTCTAGCACGATTTAATATTTTTATAAATTCTAATGTTTTACCTCTCATTCTACGATGTATATAACCTTTTGAACATTTAATATGATAATGTAAATAATTACGTAATGTATGAATAAGATTAATTGTACGTGGAGATGTTTGTGATGTAAGATGTCGAGGGAATAAAACTGTAGACAATTTGTTTGTTTGTTTCATAGAAAAGCAAAAAAAAAATTTTCATGACAATGAAATAGTTATGAGATTCAATTGAAGCTGATCAGAATTTTATTTCATTTCAATCACCAAGGTGGGTTCTGCCCAACTACCATGTGAATTCGTGACGCATAACTACCGCTTGATCGTATTCCTACTGGCTGCCAACCAGTCACGACTTCTCATCCCAATCCAAATCTAACTCAATTATCATTTGACCATATGAGATAGGTGTAGTTTGGTAGACTAGTATTTGTACTGAACGATGATTGAACGTGAGAGGAAAATATGGATCACCGCCAGATTCGAACCAGCGACCACCGGGTTACCAGCCCGGTGCTCTTCAAACTAAACTACGAGGTCCGACTGCTAACCACAATTTTATTTCACCTCAATCATCAAGGATTCTGCCCGACTATCATGTAAATTCGTGACGCCTTACTACCGCTTGATCGTATTCACACTGGCTGCCAACCAATCAGGACTTCTCATCCCAATACAAATCTAACTGAATTAGAACGAGAGGGGGATCATCATATTGATTATCATTTGACTATCTGAGATAGCAGCCGTAGTTTGGTAGACTAATATTTGTACTGGGTGATGATTGAAGGTGGGACGAAAATCCAGATTTTCATCTCACACTCAATCATCACCAAGCACACACACTAGTCTGCCAAGCTACGCCTGCTATCTCAGATAGTTAAGTGGTAATACCTTAGTGTTTATTTGTGTGTGTGTGTTCGTCTGAAGAAGATACTTTCAATACTACTTAGCTGAGAGTTCTTATCAAATGCAACGATACTCATGGGTTTATGGTCACAGAAACTATATTATTATTATTAATATAACTAACTTACACCACACTTTGTGGTTCATCAGTGGTTTAGGCGGTTGATACCCCATCCCACTCCTCTCCACTCCCTGAGGTCTACGCCATTGGGTACTATGAATAACCCTGACACTCGTCAACCCATGTGGCTGATTGTCTAATCTACGTAACCGCACATGGCGACTGGCTCTACTCGGTCTCATTTATTACCTGTAACTGTCGATTTCTTGTCTCTCATTCGTTTATCTCATTGTTATTCAACCCAACCACAGTACATGTCTATGTATTAACCTGTGAACTAAATTTAATGTTTACATAGCAGCTTGTGATACTACTTATTTGTGCAAGCCGAAGTAGGTAGACTACTTGCATCCCAGTGGAGAAACCTTTGGAGTTTGAAGAGATAGGTACGAGGTTCGAGTCTCAGTGGAAATAACATCACTCTGCACTGGGGTGCAGGTACATCCAGCTGATGAGTTCCAAATAGGACTGGAAAGCCTGTCCTGGATTCCACTGTTAATCCCCAATATGAATACAACATCATGAATATCCGACAGTATCGAGGCATCCTCATCTGACAACAGAGGTCGAGCAATTCGATGCAATATATCAACAAGAAATTATAATTAACAATAAACAACGAAGCAGGAACCTGAAACCTATTGCTTAAAAGTCAAATACTTGAACCAACGAACTACATTTAAACTCTTTTGAACTAATCGATGATGCAAGAGTTACAACCTACGAGATATGGAGCGATTGCAAAGTTTTGATCATAGATGTATTCGTGACACTGCTCGCACTAAGTGTAATCACTGTGTGAGCAATGTTGATATCAGATGAAGGGTACCTAGACAAGATAGGCAAGTCCAGATTTTCATCTCACCTTCAATCATCACCTAGTACAAATACTAGTCTGCCAAACTACGCCTATCTTTGACAGTCAAATCATAATGGAATAGTTGTCCAGACAAAAGACAACCTACCTAGTTCTATCATTTCCATGTGTATTTATCAATTCAGCTGCTCCTGTGGAGAAAGCTAACGAACGTGTTGCTCAGCATCTACCATCATGGCTAGGAAAATGACAAGTGAAGTCAATACGAAGCTCAACTCCATCACATTTAGTCGACTGTGGTCATGTAATAGACAAAACCGAAGTGTTCAACATCATCTAGCACATTCCACAAAATCTTTTGAATAGAATTAATTCGCACTAGCGTTTTACATATACCTCAGGTTATGCAAATTAGACAAAACAAACTTCGTCTTTGTGTTCAGAAAAAGTTTGTGCAGCCTTTATCTCTGTATTGACCAGAGAAAACCTGATAAATATCTTTATTATGACTTGGCTATCTAAGATAGGCGTAGTTTAGCTGACTAGTATTTGTACTGGGTGATGATTGATCGTAGCTCGATTGGTAGAGCACTGGGTCGGTAACCTGGTGGTCGCTGGTTCGATCCCGGTCGCGGTCTAGATTTTCATCTCACCTTCAATCATCATCCAGTACAAATATTAGTCTACCAAACTACGCCTATCTCATATGGTCAAACGATAATCAATAGGATGATCCCCCTCTCATTCCAATTCAGTTAGATTTGGATTGGGATGAGAAGTCGTGACTAGTGGGCAGCCAGTAGGAATAAGATCAAGCGGTAGTAACGCGTCACAGATTCACATAGTAGTCGAGCAAAAACCCCTGGGGACTGAAATGAAATAAAATTCTGGTCAACAGTCGGATTTCGTGGCTCAGTTGGTAGAGCACCGGGGCCGGTAACCTGGTGGTTGTTGGTCCGAATCCGGTCGTGGTCCACATTTTCATCTCACTCAGTACAAATATCTTTATATGAATTCAATTTTCATCCTCTTCATCTTCCCCCCCTCCCCCTTTCCACATATGTTTACTGAATTTATTTATACTTTGATTATCTACACATTTCATCCTTCAGTATTACGTAACTTTTTTATTCCTAAGTTGTGATCGAAATTGTTTGTCGAAATATTTACAGTACCATGTTGTTCTCATTAAGATAACTATTGTTATTGCACTGGGTGATGATTGAAGGCAAGATGAAAATCTGGACCGCGACCGGATTCGAATCAGCGACCACTGGGTTACCGGCCTGGTGCTCTACCAACTGGGCTACTAGGTCCGACCGCTGACCAGAATTTCACTTCACTTCAAACACCAAGGGTGATTATTATGACTGTCTAGCTATCTACTATTAACATGCTTCATTTCCTAATTACCACAGGTTGAATAATCCACCATGATTGTTTTAATGTTTTATATATGACAAAATTCCCTCTTTACCCGGGCTTAGGACCGGCTAGTAACTAGTGAACTAGTTAGCCAGGTGAGGTCTAATGTCGCACAAACTCAAAGATCTTCAGGTAAAAAACCAACAAGTTGACAGAAGAGACAGCGAAAACGGGACTTCAAGTGAATGTAGAGAAGACAGAGAGAGGTGATGAAGACACCCAACAAACACCACCACCACCACCAACAACAACAACAACAACAACAAACTACAATCATCATCAACAGCAGAAACTTAAAGGAAGTAACCTCCTCCACCTATCTAAATAGCACTGTTTCAACTACACGTGGCACACACAACCACGTCATACCCAGTCAGCATCAGAAACACACCAAGACACACTCTCATTAACCTGAAACCAGTGTAGAGATCTTCTGCACTCCACACCACTGCGCCCCACTGCACTGCACTCAACATAAAGCCTGAACAACATCCGATTCTCAACACAAATCCACTCAAGTCACTGCTCATGTATGGTTCACACACTTGGCGCCTCACGAAAGGCATTTACAACAAAACTACACACATTCATCAACAACTGCCACCTACCCTGGCTCCTTACTCAACATCACATGGCCAGAATAATAAGAATAAACAACAAGCAACTCTCGTTGGCTGACAACCAACCAACGAGGCAACAACCTATCGCTCAACAAATATGCACTCGAAGCAAGTCCAGATGGATTGGGTATACACTGAGAAGACCGATTGGGGACATCATGAGTCAGGTCAGTCACTCGAGTGCAACTCCAATGGGAAGCGACGAGTTGGGCGTCCGAGGGGAGGGTGACATGGAGGAGATCGTACGAGGAGGGAATGAGAGCTTCTGGGCTGTCGTGAAGTATCCTCACAAGTGACCTGAAGAGTATCTTAATCATCAAAATAAATCATTTCATATAGTCATATTATTAGTAACAATAATAATTCGCATATTGATGACAATACTAATAATAAATGCAGATTTCCTTTCAGAAAAAAAAAAAAACTTTTCTCCCAAATCTTCATATATCCGCATTAATAATACCAGAAAGATGAAAAAATAAGAAAAGACAGCAACAAGGGAACAGGGGGTCACAATCAGTTAAAACACACTACACAGATATTATAATGGAATAATTTTTTCAATAGATTTGAAGATAATCCCTATGAAAATGGATGGATGATCAAAACGGACCTCAGATAAACACACACACACACACACACACACAGGGAACTGTTAATACTACAAAGTGTAATGATTAGTTGTCAATCTCTGATTAGAACCAAAACAAGAGTCTATCATATATCAGTTTTCATAGGTGATTATCACAAATAACAATGAAGATATTCATAATACTACCAGCAATGTCAATGATATGAATGAGTAGAATAACACAGAACAATTTATCGACTAATATGAAATATCAAGTGTATGAACAGGCATATGTTTTCTTCGGATGGGGAGGGGGCGGCGGCGGAGCGACATAAGTTGAAATTTATGCTTATAAAAGTTTCTTTACAGATAGACTTTAATTACACGTATGCATATATATATATACCGTTTGTATAGATAATAGATTGAAGTCGAAGAAGGTATCAGTCGTAGTGTATATATCGAATTTGTATTAACCCCTTCAGCTTTGTTGATACGATAGAGAGATAGAAGAGAAAAAAAAGATGGAAAAAAGAAATATCTTTCTTAGTTCCTCCCACCCCTCACCTCCTGCTCCTCCCTTTCTTTCTATATATAACCATTATTAAGCATTAAATCTGAAGATTGAGGAAGTTTATAAGATATATGTTGATTTACAATCGATGTTTGTTCTTGATCAAATGATGATGATATTGAAACTGTTGATATACTTCCATTGACATCATTATCATAAATATCATTTTCACCATTTCTATGTATTACATTATTCATAAAAAATGAACTAGACAAATTTGATCTATTTATTCCAATATGATCAGTTTGAATAACAGGATTATTTGAATAATAATAATAATAATAATAATATTGTGGTCTAGCACGATTTAATATTTTTATAAATTCTAATGTTTTACCTCTCATTCTACGATGTATATAACCTTTTGAACATTTAATATGATAATGTAAATAATTACGTAATGTATGAATAAGATTAATTGTACGTGGAGATGTTTGTGATGTAAGATGTCGAGGGAATAAAACTGTAGACAATTTGTTTGTTTGTTTCATAGAAAAGCAAAAAAAAAATTTTCATGACAATGAAATAGTTATGAGATTCAATTGAAGCTGATCAGAATTTTATTTCATTTCAATCACCAAGGTGGGTTCTGCCCAACTACCATGTGAATTCGTGACGCATAACTACCGCTTGATCGTATTCCTACTGGCTGCCAACCAGTCACGACTTCTCATCCCAATCCAAATCTAACTCAATTATCATTTGACCATATGAGATAGGTGTAGTTTGGTAGACTAGTATTTGTACTGAACGATGATTGAACGTGAGAGGAAAATATGGATCACCGCCAGATTCGAACCAGCGACCACCGGGTTACCAGCCCGGTGCTCTTCAAACTAAACTACGAGGTCCGACTGCTAACCACAATTTTATTTCACCTCAATCATCAAGGATTCTGCCCGACTATCATGTAAATTCGTGACGCCTTACTACCGCTTGATCGTATTCACACTGGCTGCCAACCAATCAGGACTTCTCATCCCAATACAAATCTAACTGAATTAGAACGAGAGGGGGATTATCATATTGATTATCATTGACTATCTGAGATAGCAGCCGTAGTTTGGCAGACTAATATTTGTACTGGGTGATGATTGAAGGTGGGACGAAAATCCAGATTTTCATCTCACACTCAATCATCACCAAGCACACACACTAGTCTGCCAAGCTACGCCTGCTATCTCAGATAGTCAAGTGGTAATACCTTTGTGTTTATTTGTGTGTGTGTGTTCGTCTGAAGAAGATACTTTCAATACTACTTAGCTGAGAGTTCTTATCAAATGCAACGATACTCATGGGTTTATGGTCACAGAAACTATATTATTATTATTAATATAACTAACTTACACCACACTTTGTAGTTCATCAGTGGTTTAGGCGGTTGATACCCCATCCCACTCCTCTCCACTCCCTGAGGTCTACGCCATTGGGTACTATGAATAACCCTGACACTCGTCAACCCATGTGGCTGATTGTCTAATCTACGTAACCGCACATGGCGACTGGCTCTACTCGGTCTCATTTATTACCTGTAACTGTCGATTTCTTGTCTCTCATTCGTTTATCTCATTGTTATTCAACCCAACCACAGTACATGTCTTTGTATTAACCTGTGAACTAAATTTAATGTTTACATAGCAGCTTGTGATACTACTTATTTGTGCAAGCCGAAGTAGGTAGACTACTTGCATCCCAGTGGAGAAACCTTTGGAGTTTGAAGAGATAGGTACGAGGTTCGAGTCTCAGTGGAAATAACATCACTCTGCACTGGGGTGCAGGTAATCCAGCTGATGAGTTCCAAATAGGACTGGAACGCCTGTCCTGGATTCCACTGTTAATCCCCAATATGAATACAACATCAAGAATATCCGACAGTATCGAGGCATCCTCATCTGACAACAGAAGTCGAGCAATTCGATGCAATATATCAACAAGAAATTATAATTAACAATAAACAACGAAGCAGGAACCTGAAACCTATTGCTTAAAAGTCAAATACTTGAACCAACGGACTACATTTAAACTCTTTTGAACTAATCGATGATGCAAAGTTACAACCTACGAGATATGGAGCGATTGCAAAGTTTTGATCATAGATGTATTCGTGACACTGCTCGCATTAAGTGTAATCACTGTGTGAGCAATGTTGACATCAGATGAAGGGTACCTAGACAAGATAGGCAAGTCCAGATTTTCATCTCACCTTCAATCATCACCTAGTACAAATACTAGTCTGCCAAACTACGCCTATCTTTGACAGTCAAATCATAATGGAATAGTTGCCCAGACAAAAGACAACCTACCTAGTTCTATCATTTCCATGTGTATTTATCAATTCAGCTGCTCCTGTGGAGAAAGCTAACAAACGTGTTGCTCAGCATCTACCATCATGGCTAGGAAAAGGATAAGTGAAGTCAATACGAACTTCAACTCCGTCATATTTAGTCGACTGTGGTCATGTAATAGACAAAATCGAAGTGTTCAACATCATCTATCACATTCCACAAAATCTTTTCAAAAGAATTAATTCACACTCGCGTTTTACATATACCTCAGGTTATGCAAATTAGACAAAACAAACTTCGTCTTTGTGTTCAGAAAAAGTTTGTGTAGCCTTTATCTCTGTATTGACCAGAGAAAACCTGATAAATATCTTTATTATGACTTGATTACCTAAGATTGGCGTAGTCTAGCTGACTAGTATCTGTACTGGGTGATGATTGGTCGTAGCTCGATTGGTAGAGCACTGGGCCGGTAACCTGATGGTCGCTGGTTCGATCCCGGTCGCGGTCTAGATTTTCATCTCACCTTCAATCATCATTCAGTACAAATATTAGTCTACCAAACTACGCCTATCTCATATGGTCAAACGATAATCAATATGATGATCCCCCTCTCATTCCAATTCAGTTAGATTTGGATTGGGATGAGAAGTCCTGACTGGTGGGCAGCCAGTACGAATAGATCAAGCGGTAGTAACGCGTCACAGATTCACATAGTAGTCGAGCAAAAACCCCTGGGGACTGAAATGAAATAAAATTCTGGTCAACAGTCGGATTTCGTGGCTCAGTTGGTAGAGCACCGGGGCCGGTAACCTGGTGGTTGTTGGTCCGAATCCGGTCGTGGTCCACATTTTCATCTCACTCAGTACAAATATCTTTATATGAATTCAATTTTCATCCTCTTCCTCCTCCCCCCCTTTCCCCTTTTCACATATGTTTACTGAATTTATTTAGACTTTGATTATCTACACATTTCATCCTTCAGTATTACGTAACTTTTTTATTCCTAAGTTGTGATCGAAATTGTTTGTTGAAATATTTACAGTACCATGTTGTTCTCATTAAGATAACTATTATTATTGCACTGGGTGATGATTGAAGGCAAGATGAAAATCTGGACCGCGACCGGATTCGAATCAGCGACCACTGAGTTATCGGCCTGGTGCTCTACCAACTGGGCTACCAGGTTAGACTGCTGACCAGAATTTTATTTCACTTCAAACATCAAGAGTGATTATTATAATTGTCTAGCTACCTACTATTAACATGCTTCATTTCTTAATTACCACAGGTTAAATAATCCACCATGATTGTCTTAATGTTTTATATATGACAAAATTTATGTATAGTAGCGTAAAGTCTGATGAGAGCTGATTGAAAACAATATTGTTCGCTTTAATGTCTTCTTCTAATGGAATAGTATACTGAATATTAAGAGGTATCTTCTGAAGTGTTTACATTCAATGGTGTCTATCAGTGATTAACTTATTAACTATATTTTCGTTTTTTATTTTTTATATTTTGTCTGTACTTTCAAGTTTCTGTAGCGGTTGGATTGGTTTTCAGGGGTAGGGCTGTTAGCCCTAAGCCCAACCTTCCCTCTTTATCCGGGCTTAGGACCGGCTAGTAACTAGTGAACTAGTTACCCAGGTGAGGTCTAATGTCGCACAAACTCAAAGATCTTCAGGTAAAAACCAACAAGTTGACAGAAGAGACAGCGAAAACGGGACTTCAAGTGAATGTAGAGAAGACAGAGAGAGGTGATGAAGATACCCAGCAAACACCACCACCACCACCACCAACAACAACAACAACAAACTACAATCAACATCAACAGCACAAACTTAAAGGAAGTAACCTCCTCCACCTATCTAAATAGCACTGTTTCAACTACACGTGGCACACACAACCACGTCACAACCAGTCAGCATCAGAAACACACCAAGACACACTCTCATTAACCTGAAACCAGTGTCGAGATCTTCTGCACTCCACCCACCCCACCCCACCCCACTGCACTGCACTGCACTCAGCATAAAGCATGAACAACATCCCGATTCTCAACACCAATCCACTCAAGTCACTGCTCATGTATGGTTCACACACTTGGCGCCTCACGAAAGGCATTTACAACAAAACTACACACAGTCATCAACAACTGCCACCTACCCTGGCTCCTTACTCAACATCACATGGCCAGAATAATAAGGATAAACAACAAGCAACTCTCGTTGGCTGACAACCAACCAACGAGGCAACAACCTATCGCTCAACAAATATGCACTCGAAGCAAGTCCAGATGGATTGGGTATACACTGAGAAGGCCGACTAGTGACATTACGCACTAGGCCAGTTACTCGAGTGGAACCCCGATGGGAAGCGATGAGTTGGGCGTCCGAGGGGAGGGTGACACGGAGGAGATCGTGTGAGGAAGAAATGAAAGCTTATGGGCGATCGTGGAGCCAGGTGGAGACAGACTGCAGAGAAGAGAGTGGAATGGAGGTGTGCTACTGAAGCAGTATGTTCCACTAGGAACCGAAGGGACAAATAATAATATAATAATGTATTTTCGCTTAATGGAAGCATCTCTGGTAGAGGAATTTAAGTGTTATCGAGTATGCAGATGACATAGTCCTTCCTTACAAACTATAGAATCTTATAGGAATGTTTACGATATGTCAATCATCACCTCAACATATGTGGTGCTAGTGAGATATGTACAAAGTTGGCCATATTGTTTGTCTGTCCAAACCAGGATAGTTAAGAGACTTTTACTTTAGGATTCCAGGATTACCAATGAAATATCCAAGTTAATCAATCACAAGGAGAGTATACGGCACTGCAATCCATTCTTTCCTGTTATATGGCTGCGAGATATGGCCATTGAAAACAGAAGACATAAAACTATTACAAGATTCTGATCATACGTTGAGGTGACTTCGATATGTACTACGCATGCCAAGGCGCCGTCAACCGTAATGTGCCACACTAAAGTCATTTGGATTGCAATGGAAGAAGGCTCAGTCAAGGTGGCCAGACCAAGTCGATGAACCGTGTACGCAAGTGTAGACAGCCTGGCTAGGGGTCTTCAACACAATAAGGATCAGTGATTGATGAATCTTGGTGACATAGCTGAAAATCGGTCACAGCAGCGCAGATATATTCACTCTTGGACGTCTTCTAAAACTTGAATATTTGCACTAAGCTTTATCCTCTCACACTACCTTTGTCTACTTTGATATCACTCCTATTCTATCCCCTTGTTCTTTTTTGTATTACTGTGAATTATATCAACTTGACTCGATACATTTGTGTATGAAGTCATATGTTGATTTTCCGTTTGTCTCTTTATCTACTATTGATTGTTCACGTCAGTTCCATTGCTGATGAGTTTCGTCCAAACGAAAGACATGACATATTGTTACTCCATCATCAACGATAATAATAATAATAATAATAATAATACTAGCAACCACAACTTTAATAATTCGTATTCAGTAAACATAAACTCTAGATTTATACCCTTCAGTTGACATCAAATTCACAGGTGAAATGTACTTTACATAGAAATCTGGTTCGTGATCACACAGTAAGTAAATGACAAAAAAAATGTGCTGGCCACCAAACCCGAAGGTCTTGGGTTCGATCCCTGGAGGGCAAGGTCATCAATGTGCTCTGCTGAGTGGTCCTATGCCAGGATAAAGCATCTGTTCACTGCTCCCAGGTTTCCTATGTTCCTCAAACTGATATCAGTCCATGATGAATTCCAAATATTCAAGCTTTAGAAGATATCAAGGAGTGAATACATCTGCGCCATTCTCACCAACTTTCAACCATGACAGTAAGAGTTCACAACTATTGATTCCTAGTCAAGTAGTTTACATTTCCCGACAAAGCTCAGAGACTCCTTCGATTGGCATCACGTCCTTCTTTTGTCGTCCTGAACCTTCTTCTAACCCAATCCAGCTTCCCTTATCATTGCTAGTAGGCGAGGGCTCGGCACGCATAACACATTTCTAAGTCACCTCATCTTTTTGCTCAGTGTTACAATCCTCTTAAAAATCTCAGTCAGCAGATTCCCACTTCTACCATCCATTATCTTCACTATACTCCGCTTAAAACTGTAACCATATATGTTCCATAGAACGGGAGGAATGAGACAACAGTAAAATTCCGCAAGACCATCAGGATGAGGATAATTTGCAGATGCATTTGCACCATGGACATCATAGATGTATCATCTAGAGTCAGCAACCACCAATTTCGGTTATCATGTAGATCTAGATTAATATAGCGTTTTGACCCAAATTGTATTCTAGTTGGTGAGTAGCAGTAGAATCCATGACGTGTTTCGTGCCATCGGAGACTCGTCAGCTGGATGTGCCTGCCTCTCACTCAGTGATGTTGTTTCCAAATAGAATGAAACGTGTGTCGTGAATCCAACTCCTAACCATCAATTATACTTCTGGCAGTTTCGAGGCATCCATACAGGAGCCCATCTGCCAACGGAAGTCAAATAATGCGAACCAGTACACAGCAGTGGGAAATTACACGTATCAAACACCATCTGATACCTATTGTACAATAGGTGACTCTCATGTCCCAGTGGATAATGCCTTGGTATGTGAAGCGATGGAAATTCGGTTCGAGTTCTAATGGAAACAAGAGTTACTGTGGTTCAGGTGCCTCCGCCTGAAGAGTCGCAAATAAGACGAAAAATGAGTCGTAGACTCCACTGCTAGCTCCCAAGATGAATACAACATAATAATCCTTAAGTAGTTTCATAGTACAGACTGATATTATTTGCAGAAGCAGAGATGAAAAGTATTGGACACTGAATAGTTTGAAAATCACGCCTATTTCCTAAACTCCAATAGGTGGGTTAGGGTTCGAGCCCATGATTTATTGATTGAAAGTCGACTGTCTAAAACAATTAGTCACAGATTCAAAATAACAGACAAGTTTGATACAGAGTGGACGAAGATTTTGTCATATAACTCGACTTGAGGATACTTATCTTAGTGACCCAACTAACTAGGATAATTTTGAAAGATGTATGAAGTGTGAACTACTGAATCTAGAAAACTTGATTCAAACAATAGTTCATTAGGTTATCTTAGTTCTCACTGACTGTAAGTAAAAACTTTAAATTCAATTCTATTATTTAGAACATTGAACGATTACTAATACCAATTACTTTTTACCACATGTAAACAAACAAAAATTTAGGCGCGTAACTAACAGATTTGAAATTTAACGCTACACTATACATCTTTTCCATGTTAACAATAAACACTGATGATTCAACTTTCAAAAAACTGAATATTCACTATTTACATGTGAACAGCAGTAATATAGATAAAAATGAAAAAAAATAATAATAACGCCTTACATATTTTTTTTTGTTTTACTTACCAAAGGTTATATATGCTACATTTTCACCGACTGCTGCATCTGTGCCAAGTAATTCAGTTGGAGGTACTGACTGGGAATAGAGAACTTGAGGTGCTCGATCGAAACGACGTCGAACTTCAGTTAATTCCTAAAGTGGATAAATTAAAGTAAGAATCAGTGACAGGATTATAATTGACTTGATTGTGGCTAGCAGTCTGATAAAGTCAACGTAGAACCTTGTACACATAAATGGATCAGTTGAAGTCACTACACTTCACAGTAGAATACTTTTACTGGGATATAATTCTGATATCAAATACAAGCCAACCTCTGAATTTGTGCAAGTAGATGCTCTATCACTTCTGTTGAGTAGTCAGAAGTTAGACAATGAAGACACCGTTACTGCATCATTCTCTGTTGAAGATGATGTAAATAGAGCTCTTGTATGCGCTACTCAACTACCTCTAGTGACTGCAGATCAGGTTATCCATCACACCTTATATGATCCAGTTCTACAGTGGCGGGTCCCCGGCATGTTCGTTCTCATGAACTGAAGCAATTCTACCAACGACGTCATTTTTTGTCTATTGTTAAAGACTGTATAATGTTTGGCGATCATGTAGTGGTTCCTGCTAATCTCCGCAGAAATGTCCTCCATCACCTTCATTCGTCGCATCCTAGCATGAGCAGGATGAAATCGATTGCTCGCAGTTATGTATACTGGCCCAAAATTGATGAACATATCCATGACATTGTTCGACAATGCAGCAAATATGCACAAGCAACCAAATGCTCACGCAAAGCGGAACTGTGTTCTTGATCAATATCAACGAAATCGTGGTCTGGATTACATGTCAACTTAGCTGGACCAATAAATGGTATACATTTCTTGATATGCGTTGATGCATGTTTAAAATGGCTAGGAGTTATTCCTGGCATAGCTGAGTAAGTTATTTTGCCGTTTTGGAATCCCTGACGTTCTAATGAGTGATAACGGGACTCAAATTAAGTCATCTATGTTTTCCAACTTTTGTAGTCAGTTGTGTATTCAACATATTCGTGTCCCTCCATATCATCCCCAATCCAATGGTCAAGCAGAACGCTTTGTGGATACCTTCAAACTAGCAATCACAGAGGCAAAGGGGGAGGGGCTGATGGAAGAAATTTTAGATAAATGTTTAGTGCTTTACCGCACGACGTCGAATCCTTCACCCTCAAATCAACTATCACCGTCAGAAATCATATTTGGTTGAAAAGTAAAAACTGTTCTCGATGCGATTAAGCTTAAGCGAAAGGAAAATATACAAAGAAACACGAAAATGGAAAACCAGTTCAATCGTCACCAAGGTGAATTTAGATTAAACCAACAGGTTTGTGTACGCGATTTTCGTTTTGAACCGCCAAAATGGATTCGTAGGAAGGTAGTCGGATGTGAAGGAAATGTCATGTACAAAGTGAATGTAAAAGGATGGACTTGGGTCGCACATGTGAACCACATACGAGATTCAGAAGATAATAAGCAACAGGGTTTCACAATCTCATCAATCAACTTGTCTGTCTTGCCTACTACTCTTCGCCTGACTTCTATATTCTTCATGCAGCGATTCGACCAAATATGAGTAATGCTACTAAGGCCCCTATGGCTAAAATCCTGTAAGCGCTTCATGTCTTCTATTTTCTAAGCCATGTCTCACAGCCGTACAACAGAGCAGAACAGACTGAAGTGCAGTATACTCGTCCTTTGGTAGACAGTTAGTTATCTCGCCAGTTAGCATCACAGGTGATGCAAGTTGGCCAATGAAAAACAGGCTTTCTGTATCCGAGCTGACATTTTGTCAGCAACCACCCAAGTAGGTGAGGTGGTTGACACATTCCACCACTTCACTTAAAGTCATTAAATTGGGAGTAGTTGGAGACCAGTCAGGGATGAAGCATCATTTTACATTTTACAGGTGCTAGGGTGAAAAACAGACAAGATTTCTTCTAAAGGCGTTGAGAAAACCCTTCATTTCATCCGTGTCTTTACCTAGCAGGATAATATCATCCGCATACTTCACGTCAAGCAGGTGACTTCCAGGGAGCAGGTCGATCCTTGTGAAGTCAGACATATATAAGGATGGATAACAGTGAAATATATTAAACCATAGACCGGTAGGGGCAAAGCCTGATGGTCGTGAGGACAGTTACTCAACGATGACGTTGGGTGGCGGTTGCGCTATATCGTGAGCTAAAAGAAGTTGGAAATATGGACCATTGGATCCTGACCCAGTGGCTAGCTCAATGGCAACGTGATGGCCACGAACCTGAAAGTGGCTGGTTCAATGCCTGGCGGGTTGGGGTCGTGGGAGCGCACTGCTGAGGAGTTCCATACTAGTCAAAAGAAACATCTGTCCAGTGCTCACAGGTTTACTTTGTTCCTCCAACTGATGTCAGTCTACGATGAATAACAACTTGAAATAAACTATAAACATTTTTTCACAATGGTCAGAGCTTCAGACTTATCATCAGCATGAACCTTCCAAACGTTGTAGCTCACTTGCCCAGAAAATAATGACATATATGGAAAAAACGAGAATATCGTAAGTTAGTACTCTAATGTATGAAACTCTGGTGCTCAAAACAAAGGTGTTGGACTTCAGTTTAGGTGGATACACTAACACTCAAAACACTCCATGTACAGTAAATCCTACTGTAAGCCTATTTCAAAGGTATATAAATGAATAAAAACATGACATTTAAAGTAAAGATGAACCGTAACAAGTTATTGCACAGTGAATTTTCAGTTACCATATACCGATACAGCTCAATACTGATTCCCTCTAGCTCTAAGTTTTTTTTTAAAGTCAACAGCCTTGCCAACAACAACAAACTACAATCATCATCAACACGAGAAACTTAAAGGAAGTAACCTCCTCCACCTATCTAAATAGCACTGTTTCAACTACACGTGGCACACACAACCACGTCATACCCAGTCAGCATCAGAAACACACCAAGACACACTCTCATTAACCTGAAACCAGTGTCGAGATCTTCTGCACTCCACCCCACTCCACCGCACTGCACTGCACTGCACTGCACTGCACTGCACTGCACTGCACTCAGCATAAAGCATGAACAACATCCCGATTCTCAACACAAATCCACTCAAGTCACTGCTCATGTATGGTTCACACACTTGGCACCTTACGAAAGGCATTTACAACAAAACTACACACATTCATCAACATCTTCCGCCTACCCTGGCTCCTTACTCAACATCACATGGCCAGAATAATAAGAATAAACAACAAGCAACTCTCGTTGGCTGACAACCAACCAACGAGGCAACAACCTATCGCTCAACAAATATCCACTCGAAGCAAGTCCAGATGGATTGGGTATGCACTGAGAAGGCCGACTAGGGACATCATGAGTCAGGCCAGCCACTCGAGTGGAACCCCGATGGGAAGCGACGAGTTGGGCGTCCGATGCGAGGGTGACATGTAAGAGATCATGTGAAAAGGAAATGAGAGCTTGTGGGTTGTCGTGGAACGAGGTTCAAAAGAGTGGAGAGAACAGAGTGCATTAGAGACGTGCTATCGAATCCCCATGTTCCATTAGGAACCCAAGGGACAAATAATGATATAATAATAATCATTGATTCAAGTATTAATATCAACGGGAATTCAACTTGACATGGACAAATAAGTCTCCTCACTAAGAGTACAAGCGGTACAATTAAAGTGTTAGGTAACTTTATTATTATTTGACCATCAAACCTTCAACAAATGGAACACATTTCAATAAAATGGTTGGTCACTGGAGAGTAACCAATTTCAAGCGATCTAGTCCTGCGGTATCAACTGAATTCTATCTATCATTTCCCTAGGAAACTCCTCACTGTGGTGCACATTGAAAAAGGTTAGTTAGTTGGAGGCAATAGATAGATAGAATAACCTTGGAAATACTTCTTCTTGGTTACTGGTACATGTCAATAAGGCATAACCATGACGGAATTGATGTCCCCGTTGAGATTCAAGTTCAAGTCACTAGGTGCCACTTCATTCAGAGATGTTGCCATTGAGCTATTCAGACGATGACTGACCTCATGTAAGACTGTATTTGATACACTGATTGGCAACTGGAGAGTAACCAAAACAATGAATGAATTAGATTTAACAGACCAGTATACACTTGGTTGTAAGTCAAACCTACATCTTTCCTTGAGGAGCTGTGACTGATTGGATTAGACACTTGATTTCCACTCACTCAATGGGTCACAGATTTGAACCCCACTCCACCTCCTACAAAGGTTTGGGTAGCCCTGATATACAATTAGGTATCGCTCATTGCCTCCAGCAAAAATGTGCACATGCTTGTTAAGCACATTTCAACTTTCTTCTTTGTTATCTAGTTTACAATCGTTATTCATCGAAGGCTTGGTAATTTCTTCTTTTCAATGTTACTCCTGTTGAACCAATCAAAAAACAACATCTTAAGATACCCATCCTACTTTAAGTGAAAGTTGAGTTCTAATACCCTAACACAATCCAAATTATATATATTATTGATGGATAGTGGCTAGCAGTGGAATCCACAACGCGTGTTTCGTCCTGTTTCGGACTCGTCAGGCATATGTACCTGGCTCCCAGTGAGTGATATCGTTCCCACTAGGATTCGAACTTAGGACATATCGTGTCAAACGCCAGATCGTTATCCACTGGATTACCGAGCCATGATAGTCACTTCTTGTGTGATGAGCGTAGTTTTAGTGCTGTTGCTTGTACTATCCCGTTGTTGAGTGGACCGAATTGATCGATCCCTATTGGCATATGGGCTCCTGTGAGGATACCTCCGTGTTGCCTCTATTCAACGACGGGATAATACACATTCAATAACATTTACACTACAAATTGTTTAAACTATGAGTTATCGATGACAATATCTTTTAAGAACTATCCCATATTTATATGAATCATGAAGAATTTCGTCAAACTGAATATATACATACACTATCAACAGACTTCTCCCTCTAAATACTAACTGGATGATAGGTAGAATAAAAAAAAAGAAAGGGAGAATACTATGCTTTATTTCAAACGACAAAGAAATTGATAAAATCTATGATAATTTGATTGGTTGTAGCTAGCAGAAGAATCCAGGACT